GTATCAATTTATAAATTTTTTTTAAGGTTCATAATGTAATTTAAGTTGCAGATTATAATTAGCATTTATATTATACAACTTAAATTTTTTTATGCATGTATACATTATTTAACAATAAAGTAGACAAAGTTATGAAAAAAATCTATTATATTAAAGTAACAAATTAAATAGTAATAAAGAAATAAGATAAAGTCAAGTAGCAAATAGCATGAATAAGCAAAGATAAAAAATCATATATTTTTTTTTTAAAGTTTCAGAAGATAATAAGATAATATATATAAGTTGAAAATCATAATTAGTAGTCACTTCATATTATGTACAAATAATATAAATGGAAAAGTCTACATATCCTAAACTAAAATCAGGTGATTGGTATGTGTCTATAAAATTTAGATAGAGTAGAATCATATAACTAGTATGAAATATAGACTTTTTGATATAAACATTACATATTGCATATCACATAAATTTAATAGGTTTAATATAATAGATTTGTTTAAGTTTTATAATATAATATAAGTTTCAGATTAATTAGTATTTATATTAAAAATTATTTATATACTTCATAATATAATATAAGGTGCAGATTAATTTTTAGTCAATTTAAAATTTAAAATTTATTTATATAAGGTAAACTAAATATTACACATCATGTGACTGCAATGATTTTAATATAATAAATTTATTTATATAGGTTAAACTAAATGTTACATATTACATGACTGCAATAATTTTAATATAATAGATTATTAATTTTAAACTTAGCTAACTAAAATATTTTAAAATTAAAATTCTTTTTTAATAAGTTGCTGACATATTAATTATTTTATACTATTTACTCAAACCAATACTTAGATACTAACTATGTTTATTACAACTTAGCTAACTTCTTTTTCTACTAATGTACCTGTGCTAATGTACTTTTATTTAATCAAATTATTCAAATCCCACTAATCAAATTGTTTTTAACAACTTATTTGATCTTAATATTTATTAAAAAAATAATTTAATTAATAAAATTCTTCATTATATAGCTCTTAATCCTCTATATATTTTATCTAATACATTCTATTCTAAACTTATTTTTAAAGAACTTATATTAAAATCATTTATATTAACAATTTAAAACTTTAACATACTATATAAAACTGCTTTTTAATTTATTATTAACATTTTTCTTAACATTAATGAACAATCATATAAGCAATTATATAGAAAACATGTTATATTTACTTCTCTAATTAGAAAAAACAATAAAATATATCTTAATTCTAACCAATTAACAAATTCTTAACTTTATTTAATTCAACTACTAGACATATATATTTTCAAAAAAACTATACTTATATATGTCTCTGCAAACTTTTAAATTAATTATATACTCATTTTAATACATACTCTCCTATTGATCAAGCAATTTAGAAAATTAACATTTGATTTATTTTATAGATTAAATATAGCATATCATCAAATTATATATTAAATATTTAGAGAACTAGTATTTGTACCTTCCATATTTGATATTCATATTTCTAATAAAAAATTAAAAATTTAAAAGTTCAAGTAAAGATATCTTAATGACTATTTAATTAAATTTAATAAACTTTTTTTATTTCAATTCTATAAATATATAGAATTCAAATAAAAAAAATTTTATCAGATTTGATTAAATGGTTATCAAGATATCTTTACTCAAAGTCAAAGAAAAATTAAATATCTATTAAAATAGTTTTACTAAATTTTTTTAAAACTTTGTATAAAGATATCTCAACAACTACTTAATCAAATTTGATGAATTTTTTTATTTAAATTCTATGGATTCATAGAATTTAAATAAAAAAAATTTATTGAATTTGATTAGGTAATTGTTAAGATATCTTCACTCAAAGTTTTAATAAAATTTTGATACAACTTTTATTTTAATAGATATTTTGGTTTTTTAAAAAATTTGAGTGAAGATATTTTGACAATCATTTAATCAAATCTGATAAAATTTTTTTTATTTGAATTTTATAAATTCATAGAATTTAAATAAAAAAAAATCATCAAATTTGATCAGATAGGTGTTGAGATATTTTTACTCAAAGTTTTAATAAAATTTTAATACAACTTTTATTTTGATAGATGTTTTGGTTTTTTAAAAAAGTTTGAGTGAAGATATCTAGACAATCATCTAATCAATTTTGATAAATTTTTTTTTATTTGAATACTATGAATCTATAGAATTTAAATAAAAAAAAATTCATCGAATTTGATTAAGTAGTTGTTGAGATATTTTTACTCAAAGTTTTAAAATTTAATATAACTATTTTAATAGATATTTTGATTTTTCTTTGACTTTGAACAAAGATATCTTGATAATCATCTAATCAATTTTTATGAAAATTTTTTTATTTTAATTCTATATATTCATAGAATTAAAATAAAAAAAAGTTTATTGAATTTAATTAACAGTCATCAAGATATCTTTAATTAAACTTTCAAAATTTTAATTTTTTGCTAAAAAGTATAAATACCAAATATAAAGAGTATGAATACTAGTTTCCAATATTTAAATCTAGATAAGCTTTGACCACTCTAGTAGATTTAGATTGCAGATAAATTAGTTTGGGTTTTTATTCTTATATATAATTTTCAATTTATTTGTTTTGTACAAATATTAGTAACTATATAGTTAGCAGTTTAATAGTTAGCCCTAATTGCAAATATTGGCTTCAATTATAATATATATATATGTAAGTATTTTAAATTATTAATAAAAATATAAGCAAGACCTTATCTTAAAATATATATATATATATAATTTTCAATATTAAATTCTAAATTAAATATAATTCTGAAGTAATTTTATAATTGCATAAATTCAAACTATAAATTTTATATTTTCACAATTAATGAATTTTGATAAGGTATAATTATACATAAAATCTATATAGAATTTTTAAAAAAACTATAATTTGCTTATTTTTATTGATAATATTGTATTGTCTTTTATTTTTTAAATGAACTATAACAATAAAGAACATATACAAATTAAAAACACAAATAGAAGATGTGATGACCTAGTGAAGTAGTTAGGTTGTCAATTCTCTAAGTAGTAAGTTGTAAATTCAAAACCCACAGATGATGAAATTTGAATAATTACCTATATAATATTTGTATTATGACAATAATATTCTGTCAATCAGTTGGAATAGAATATCTATAACTATGGTTACATTAGCATGACTGACAGGTCAGAAGCATCTGTGTAATCTTAGTTACATAGAGAGATGCAAATCAGTACTGGATAGTGCAAATCCAAGATAAGTTCTTTGGTTATGTAAATCTATAGAACTTGAGAAACCAGAATCTATTTAAGAAGGTTCAAATAAAGAAGTAATACAGATCTTCAACAATATTATTGTAAAAACTAAACCTAGGAAACAGATATCAATGTGAAAGAATTAGGCAGACAAGAACCTCTGAATAAGAGGTACCACCAATTAGGCTACCGAAAATCAAACTAGAAGAAAAGAATATTAGGCTGAACTTGATATACCAAAACAGATTACAGTTCTACTAGGCTATCTGGATTAGAAGTCTGAGATTAAAGCAAGAATATACTATAAGTACTAAGGATATGCTGTAAAGTTGGTATTAAGGTTTGAATAAATCTTGCAAGGACAAGCTTTGTTAATATTCTATAATAAAAAGTAGATAAATTAGTTAACAGGAAGACATTCTGAGCTTTACAGTCAGGTAACATGCTCTGAAATGTGTAATGACCTGACAGATGTACAACAAGGAAGGTTACATGTCAAGTTAGATAGCACCAAGATGTACAGGAATCTTGAGACTATTTGACTAATATAAGTATAAAAGATTAGAGTATTTAAATAAGTAATCTTCTAGTAAATTATAAGTATAACAACTAGTATAGAACCTTTAGGTGAACTACTTAAAATAGATAACCAAAAGTTGTATAAGTGGTTAGTTGTACACTCACCTTGTACAAATTATACAATTAATGTATAATTAAAATACACAATAAAGATGATAACCGCCAATAGACATTAACCTTAGTGAAAGCAAAAAAAAAAAAAAAAAAAACACAAATATAAAGTACCCTAATGTTTGCTAATAACAACCTAAAATTAGAAAGTAAGTGCCTAATATACTTAATTTTTAGTGCAAAAAGTAAGTTATTGGTTAATTTCTAACTAATAAATATACCAAAACAAAGTACAAAATATGTAAAGTACCAGAGTATAGTTTACAAACATCTGAATTAGTGTATTTCTTTTTTATCTAATTGGTTAACCTAACCCTATAACATCATCTATATTTATACTCTATGAGGCTTTTGAGAAAAATACAAATTAGATTCTTGTAATCAAAGAATTATTATAATGTTAAATTTCTTTATTTATTATCGTGGCTTTTAAGCCTGTAATTCATATATGAAATTATTCATGTTTTTTGTTGCTATTCTGACTGTATTATCGTTATTTGAATCAATTAAATTATAAATTTTCTGCTTCACTTGATTTGAATAAATCAGGCTTGTGGTTATATCGGTTATGTAATAAAAAACAGTTTCGAAAGGATACTTTACTGAACATGGCACCACAACCGATATATTAGAACAGTGAAACCTGAGTTGCGAAATAGTGAAATCCGGTTTGTAGATCGAGCTATATTTACTAAATACCGATACTCTTCACGTCTTCCGTGCGTGACAATGTTGCGCAGCTATCTTATGATGTAATTCAATAACCCTATTAAACCGATTAACAGTAAAATATAATATTTCGTGACATGCTTGAAACAAACCGGGTTTAAGTTTTAAAAACCGAATTTTACAATCGGATCAAGTTACATAAAACCGATTTAATACGTTATTAACCGGTTCCAACCTCTGCTAAGACAAGAGATCACACCCGACCTCAAATCCGATTGGCCGTAACGACTAGAAGAAATAACTCCCAACGCATAGACAAGCGCCCCACTTGATCAAAATGTCAAATTTTCATCCTCTTCACGAAAAATTATTATGCGAGTGGAAATTAAAACTTTCGAAGACAGAAAAGTTATTTCCATGTCCAGCACTAAACGGGCTTTTTAAAGATGAAACTGAGATTTTTGACAGTTTTACGCAAAATTTGCTGGAAGTCCAAGGTTTATCATTATTATATTAATGTGAAATTATTAGATGCAATGATAATTATACTGAATATTCAGGATCAAAGCATTTCCACGAAGAAAGCCTAAAATCCCGGCCCATATTCATATCCTTGGCAAATAAAAAAAATGCCATTTCTAAATTATTCTCAAACTTGATTCCTTATATTTAAACTTAATGCTACGTTTCGAAGAATTATATTGTTAATCGACGAATTCAAAAAAAGCAAAATATTCCTCGTACAAACAATGAAGAGAATGAAGAGAATTTAACATGTATTTTTTTTTTTATCGTTTTTATTTTAAATCACTTTTTCTTGTTATTTTTAACACTCTGAAATTAAATAGATCACGATGAATCGGCTAAACCCTCATCACAAGAAGTCGAATGCGAAGTAGATTCGTATCTAATTCAAAACATAAGTGCAAAATTGAATATTGGAAAAGCAGATGAGATCTTATCTGAGTTTAACACGTTAATGAGATTGCCACACTCACAAGTAAATATCAGAAATTTTAGTTAGTGACTTTATTTATCTCTATTAACAAATCTTTATTAACAACTTACCATTATATAGCTTAATAAAATATTTAAAGACTTAGAAATTTCCCAACTTGATGATGTTGTCTTGGCTATTTTATGCAATGAAATTGTTAAGCATGAAGATATCGCATATCAAAATTATATAGTGTTTTTTAAACATGGTTTATTAGAAAAGGTTTACTTTTTGTTTTTTGGGGAGTTTCGCAATAGAGATTGTTAAATATTAATTCTTTTGTAGGTGCGACATATAAAGTCAAAACCTTCACGTAATTTCTTGGCAAATATTTCGAAACTCGCGAAAGCCAAAAGTAAACCGATGGTTTATGGATTATTACTACCTTTAATTACGGAATCTGATATATGTAAGGATATATAACTCGTCCTAGATTAATACTAGTATAAAAGTATATGATTATCTTTTTAACGTATAAGATACAGCACAACCTCAATTAGAAGTGATTTCTCGTGTAATCGACAGTGGATTAAGCGAAGAATCTATCATCGCATTGTTGAAGTGAGCACCTCGACCTTGTTTTCAAGCAACAGTATCAATTTTATATATTTATTTAACAAAAATTTAGTGAACTATTTTCAGAATCCTATCCTTCGATCTCTCAAGTTAATAATCCTACATCAAAAGATTCTTTCAGCCTCCAAATAAATTGGCCTCCCTCAACAATTGATGTCCTATTTTCAATCTTTAATCAAAAATTCGATTTAAAAGAAGCTGCTTTCCAGCATATCATTCCAAATTTTTTACGACACCTAGATTTCAACATTGAATTATCGCCAAATGACAAAAAATTAGGTCAGCTATTAATGTTACTTGTCACGAAGCACTCAAAAGATTTTATGGAAAACCTGGAAGAAATCAAAATTATTGCTGAAAAAAGCAAGTCGTTTATCAAAAGAGGTGTTTTAGCGCAGATTACAAATTTGATAAAGAAACAAGATAAAGTCCGATGATTAAAGAATTAAGAATGTCATAATCATTATATCATGTCACAAAAAATAGCACAAAGTGAACCTACATATCTCTCTAAACAAATAGGTGTTGAGACACTATTTTACCTCAAAGTTACAAACGTTTGCTTAATATCTCATAATCATAATCATCGACATATTCTGGTTCAACACACCGACTGGGTGAAATTTCATCTATTTCATATCTACATATATTAGGTGTTCAAATTAATGCTTCAATACTCAACAATAAATAAGAAAATATATATCTTCTATTTACCCGAGATGGTTACAGTAAAAATTAAGCGCAGATGTGTTTTCTGAATTTCAATAATGCATTAAATTTGTGATATTAGAAGAATTTTAAAAGAATTTGTAACGAATTAAATACAATCAGTCTGCTCTATATATAACGAACTTTTTAACAAATTTGTTAGAGTTCAGTATGGCAATAAATCATATAAGAAATTCCGAAAATTGTTTACTGTAAGAATCACCAGTTCGTTATAAAGAGAGTTGATAAATTATAAATACCTTTGAAAGCGGTAAGCATACTTTTTTTCATTCCCCAATACCTTCCTATTGTTTCCATCGTTTTCATCAAAAATGTGCCTAGTCCCTTGTTCCTTGCTTCTTCAGTTAGCTGAATTTCATAACTAATAAAAAATAATACAAATAAATTAGATGAAATTAAAAATAAATTTATTAATTACATATTGAGTTAAAAGTTAATATACCAATATATTGTTTCAATTTTCCGATTATCATCCGCCATAGTTTCTTCGAAGGTAAATTGAAACATAACAAATCCAATTGGATTCCCAATAATGACATTATTATTGATCGTATGAACTTTTCTAGCAATAAGATATCGTGCACCGGATTCACACAATTCTTTCACTTTATTCGAAGGATTCCAACCTATACGTGAATTCTCATAACTACAAAGTCATAAATACATTTTAGAGCAATTGTAATGCATTTATCCCACTAGGGATATTAATCGTTTGTCGATCCCAATAGTTTTTCCTACTTAAATAAGTAATTTAAGGACAGTCCCATCTGAAATGTCGTTCTTCAAAATGTAACTCAATTTTCCTAAATAATAATAATTACGTCGGAAATTGACAATATAGATGAAACTAAACGGATCGATTGATGCAACTAACATCCCTATGTAATGAATTTATCACTAAAAGATTTACTATTTCTTTGTGTTTGATTGTATCAAGTGAAATGCCCATCCTTGCAACGCGTTGGGAACAGTCGTAATCGGATAATATTCGACGATTGTGCTAAAACTTTAGTACGTAAAGTTAGACTCAAGTATAAATTACTTATAAAATAATTAATAGTGCATAAAGAGAGAAGTTCTTACTCATCACAATCATAGTTTGCTGGCAGACCAATAAAATCCATATTGGTCGCCTTATTATTGAACGCGTTTAAATGAAATTTGATAAAATGAGCGTAAGTCTTTTTCCTTTTGATATTGAGTTATGAAAATTTAGTTAAATATTGTCAACCTGGTTTGCTATTTCAACGAGATTTTGGGTGTTCATTGATGTAAAAAATATAGTTTCGCCAATTCGTCGGATAAAGTTAAGGCGGCTTTCTAACTTTTTTTTTGATCCGTTAGCTGTTTATAGTAGACAATCAGTCAGAATATACTAAAAATGGGTAGTCCTTAAGGTGGGGTGGGGCAATCATGAGACGATCTGCTCGATAAAGTAATCTTACTAGAAGTGGGCTTAACCCTAATGCTAATGAAATAAGCGTTATATTACGTAATTTTCTCTGCATACCGATACGTACGTACTTGAATTTTTAGATCCTCCGAATATCTGAAATGAATTGATACAACTAAGAACTAGAAGCCATCAAGTACAAAGTATCAAATTTTAAAATTGAAATTTTAATTT